TTTTTATATCAGACGTTGAATATTATTAAATATACTCGTTTTTAAACATCGTCCATGGAAATATATAATCATTGAATGTAAAAGACGGTAAACCATGCCATAGAGCAGTGTAAGGGTATGTATCCTATATATTATTTCTAAAAGGTGTTTTTTTTGTCGGTACGCCATAACTTCGTCAATTCTTCATCAAATCCAATGATTGACCACTCATTTTGAAGATATTCTTCTCCTTCACATGTGAAAAATAGTCCTATCCCCCGAAATTTCAGGAAAAAAGTCTATGAAGGAAAAGAAACTTTATTTGCGAATAACTCAAAAAGTTTGTATTTTTTTCTTGGTTGTACCCATGATATTTTTTTTTTTTTTTTTAAACTTATTTATTGAAAAATATTACAATCTGTCTCTATGACATTTATAATAGAGTTCACAGATCACATTCACACTCTATGCACAATAAATAAAATAAATTATAAATAAAATAAATTACTCATGATAATTAGAAAAGTTACTAAATTACCTACATAAAAAAAAAATCAGACAAGTATTAACAAAGATACAGTCCATTAGTTTTGGTATACTTAATAATGTCTTCCTGTTTAAAGATATTTCACTTAGGAGTAGAATAATCTACTACACTTTTTTTCCTGGTTGATATATTGACTTTATTATTTCTTAAAGACATTTGGTTGTTCTTAGATTTTATTTTATTTTTAATTTAGAGAATTCCATGATCGGTTCATTATTTTGTCTTTATTACTTTTATTATCTTTCCAGTCAGAATTTAAAAATAGTATTAAAAATACGTACAAATATTTTTGTCTATTATGTTTAATGGAATATTGTAATCGATCAAGGAAAACATATCAATTACTTCCTTACATAATATATAGGAACTACTTATTTCCATATTGTTTTGCTATTTCTTCACTAAACAAAATTTTCTGCGAATTATTCGTACTGGCCAACTAGTTACATATATTGTAATTGTTAAAAAATAAAATTGAGGATAAAAAAAATTGCATTTTATATTACCTAATTTTTTGTATTAGATGAATTATTAAAAATATGTATTGTTTAGATTATTTGTAAAAAAATGAAATTATTCAGCATGTAGGTGATACGAGGATTTAATATTGTCGTGAGATAATATATGAAATTAATCATATAAGAACGACTAGAAATATACACTAGTATAGGTTAGTTCAATTTTGAAAAAGAAAAAGAAAAAGAATCTATACAGTTATTTAGACATACATTTAACCAGATGTTGTTAGACATACCAAATGTTGTCGAAAGGTTCCCTCCATGTTTTTACAACAAATAAAGTCAAAAATCGTTTTTCATGAATCGAAACCGCACTTTTTCGAACCGGGCGCTCTCAAACCCTCTTGGGTTCCGCCATTATTCTTGATGGATATAGAACGATATCATCGCTTTTACTGCACTCAAAAATCTAAACATTGTCGAGAAAATTGTTGAAATAAGAAGTGCTCTTTGCAATGAGCTGCTGCCTGATTGGAGCAGTTGTACAGTCGCTGTGAAGAGACAAGAGGCGGTCTTCGGCCCGTCGGTGCAGAGGAAGCCCCGGGCCCTACTGATTGCTGTCCTCAGGGAACCTTCTTTGCTCAAATATAAAAGCAGACCACCTCCCGGGGGGTTCATCCCCAACGGTTACAAGGGCCCTACATCAGGGCAAGTTAAATTTTGTATCGGTTGGAAGTTCCTCCCTCGTTTGTAGTTCTTAGCTCCAAATCACAACTTCAGGAAAGGCTTTGAATACGGATTTGGATTGTGATGATTGGATCTTATTATTAATATTTGTATTAATTCTAATTTATATATATATATATATATATATATATATATATATACATATAGAGCATCAGCTGACATTCCCATCAATACGAGCTGGATATATAAGTTTCATTATTTTTATCGGATAATGCTGATTGTCAATAATTTTTGACAAGTGCACATAAATTGTATATACATTTTTGAAATTGTAAATATACCTGTTATTTTTTTTCTTTTAATCATAATTTTTAACTATAATGGTTTTTCAATTTTTCTTCTTGTAATTTTTAATATTTAAATTGTACTTCCTAACTTTTCTTCTTTTAATATTAATTTTATTTTTTTAAACGTATTTTTAGATTATATTCCTGAAATCATTAACCTCTTATTTAAATGTCCTTGCTAACTGTTAACTTATCTTTTTCTAATCTTTAATTTTTAATTTTAATGGTTCTTGTACTTTTTAATGTTTACACTGTATTTTTTAACATCGCCTCTATTAATATTAATTTTTATTATTTAAAAATGTATATTTTAGCTTTCATTTTTAATATCATTAATCATTATTTTTATTGTATCTGTTATCTCATCTTCTATTAAATCTTTAACTTTCAATTTTTATAATTTTAGTTGAATTGTACTATCAAAATCATCTGTAATTATTCTAAACTTTTCAAACTTTAAATTGTATTTCTTAGCTATAGTTTAGTTATGTGTGTAGTAATTCATCAAATTGTAATATAGGGCGAAAATGACCCAGGTGGTTGAAGAGCCCAAAACATGTGTAAATAAATGTTTGAAAATAAATATAAATAAAACAATAAATATAAACTAAATCACCTCGTTTGTGACCGAAAACAGCACATCCCATTTTACTAAAATATATATTACTAAAACAGACTGACCGAATATATATTAAAATAGAGTAAAGTGGAATTGCTAAATTGGTTCTTGATTATTTTAAAAATTTTGGGAGTTTCAGGACTTTTGAACATTGAATTATTTTTGTCAATAGCATAGAATTATTGGGTACTGTATATTGATAATTTAATAATTACCATCGATATTTATTTTCGTTCACTACCTAAAATATAAATATTCTTGATAAGCTGAATTATATTATTTTCTTTTTACCTGTTCAAGTATTTCAATTTAAATTAATCAAATCTTGAAACATTTGTCAAGAGAATCCATTAAATCTGCCTTGTAACAAGTTCAAAGTAGGACTTCCCCCATTAAGCTATTAGAGTTAGTTATAAGGGAAAGCCCTGTTATTTAACATTGTTCCGTCGAGGGCTATCAACGTTAAAATTTGGTATTTATCTCCAATCAACTTTAGTTTAATTGTAAATTTAGTCGAATATAATAGTAAAAATCATCTAATGTGGTTTTAAAAATTGATATATAATTAATAATAAAATTCATTTTCATACTTCACGGATTCATTTGCTTGGTTTGATAAGATTACTAACCTTATCAGGTTAAAGGTTATACGATGATATCCTTATTTTTTAGGAAAACAAATTTGAAAATTTTATGTGTTACATCAAATTTAATATGGAATGGAAAAATCTTTAAATTAAGATCATTAATAGCCTATCACTTTTTTCTTTATTGCTTTTCTTTTTATAATACTAAATTAATTTTTGAATATGTTTTAACAAAAAGTTACTTTATCTCTAAATTCATACAAAACAGGAATGTAGAAATTCATTAGTCGCAGACAAAATGAATGAACATGAAGTTAATATAGATGCATATATGGATATAATCATAATCAACGTTTACGATTTCGTAACCCTGTGAGCTCCTGTTCTACAGTATTCTTCAGTAATACTCCAGTTGTTTCTGTTGAATATATATCCGATACCTACGACTTCTCCTGGACTAACGTCTATCTAACAATCTTCATAGAAGATTGAAACGACAAGAAACCGCTCGACAGTTAAATCCAAGTATTTAATAGACAAACGCTATAAGCTTTTCATCAATTACAAATGATGCATGTGCATGTACAATCAAGCTTACTTGAACTCACGGAGTTGAGCTTTGGGTCTACACTTAACCAACCAATTCCTCTTGCATCCTTACAATCCAAAATCCTTCGTTAAATCCTCAACGCTCCTCAATTCGTCACAAATAAAACAATTTATCAACATCAATGACCTTAATGTTGCATATCGCTACTGTTAGGGCAAAACATTGTATGGGAAAATTAGCTTTTTTTAGAAGAGCCTATTTTCGATTTAAAACCGGTTATTTTTGTTTGATTTATAAGTATAATTTCATATTTTTTCCCCCTATTTAGCAGTCTACTTTTATCAGTCTTCCTCTTACTCCAATGCTCTCTCATCCTCCTGGACTGTTCCTCTCGCTCTTCCTGAGTCCATTTCCTCCCTCGTCTCTCCCTACCCCTTTCAGTTTTTCCCTAAATAGCTCTCTATCCAAGCAATCTTTATCCGTGATTTTTAGCCTGTCTAATTCCTCTTTTATTTGTTTTACATAACCCCTCATACTTTTATAGCTGAAAACTTTGTCAAAATTTTTCTTGTTCAGTCTGTTACTATTCATCCTGACCATATGCCCGTAGAACCTCAGTCTTCTAGTCCTAATGACTGTTTCCAAATCTTCCAACTTTATTTTTATTTCTTTATTGGGTATTAGTCTGTATCACTCTTGCGTTACCTTGGGTCCGTGAATCCTCCTCTCAATCTTCTGGATTTCCTCTAGGCTCGGAAGGCTGACTGTTTCCATACCATATAATATTACAGGTCTTGCTACTGTTCAGTAATGCCTTATTTTTGTATTTAAGGACAATTTTTTCTTGTTGTAAACATTTTCGGTCTTTCCAGTTTGGTTATTCTTCCTTTTATTGATGCCTTATCCGTTCAGTTACCCGTTCAGTTACCCCGTTCAGTTACCTATCACCTCCCCTAGGTATTTAAACTTTTTGGTTACTTATATTTTCCCATATTTTGTGTCCAATATTTTCTTGGTGAAGTTGGTTTTTCTTCCAATATTTTCTTGTTGTTTTTTATTTTAATAAGTTTGTAAATTTCATGAATTAAAAAAAGCATTGCCTATATTAATAATTTGTAAAATATCTTTTATATTTGTTATATATATATATATATCTTTAAGTGTTAATTTATGTTTAATATGGGCTATTGTATGTTGCAGGGAGGATGCGGTGAGATGGGGGTGAGATGAGCCCTAGGTGGAGCTATGGGGCCGCCTGCCTGCTGCTGGTCGGCTGGGCGGCTGGGTCCTGCCCGGCGGACACCTCTTCCTGCCCCTGCTACCTCTTTGACGACGGCCTCTTCCTCGAGTGTCCCGACTCCACAGTCTCCCTCGTCAGTCGGGTCCTCTCCTCCTTCACCGAACCTATCCAATCCTTCTCTCTCTACGGCCTCGATAAGGAGGTGACTCAACTTGGGGGGGACATCTTCCCCCCCGGCATCAAGATCAGGCACTTGCAGATATCACACTCCAATCTCCGAGCGCTATCACAGAATTCCCTTGAACACCTTTCCTCAGACCTTGAGGCTTTGAGCATTGTTTCCGGGAAATTAGAAGCAGTCCCCCAAAAAGCTCTCACTGACCTCAAGACCCTCCGACTATTGGATCTAGAAGCTAACGAAATCAATCGCCTCCCGAGTTACATTTTCTACGGACTCAGCTTGGCGACTATTAACCTAAAAGGAAACGCCGTAAAAGAAATGTCAGAGTATGCATTCGCCGGTCTCGAAAACACACTGACTGAAATCGACCTCTCAGAAAACAAAATTGATATCTTTCCCATGACTTCACTGAGAAGGTTAGAGAACCTGAAAAACTTGCGGCTCTCGTGGAACGAGATATCTTCCATCGTAGACGACGGCTATTCCAAACTGCATCGACTACATTCTCTGGATTTGAGTTCCAACAACTTTGAATCCCTTACAGAAGACGCGTTCCGTCCTATTCAAAATGTAAAATCGCTGTCTCTGTATTATAATTCGATCGAAGGAGTTCACAGAAAGGCATTTGCTTCTTTAGTTGTGATGGAAAATATAGACATCAGCCACAACAAAATTGTATTTTTAGATGCTGAAACATTTGTCTTTAACAAAAATCTGAGGACAATCGACCTCAGTCACAATCATATACATTATATTAATGGTGTTTTCGAAAATCTTCCAGAGCTTAGAGAATTGTTTTTGTCTGAAAATAATATTTTAGAAGTCCCTTACGATGGCTTTACCAATTCGGTTTTGTTGAACGTCATTTATTTGCAACAGAATGCGATCAGAAGGATAGACGAAGATGCTTTCTTTACACAAACTAGTTTGAATCAATTATATCTCAGTGATAATTTCATAGAAGTTATACCTAAATTCTTGCTCAATAATACGAAGAGTCTGACTCACCTGAGTCTGGATGGTAATTTGATAAGTGATTTAGAGAAGGGTACCTTCAGGAGGGTTTCTGAGCTCAAAGAACTAAGACTGCATAACAATAGGATGAAGAGAATCGAGCGGGGGATTTTCGAGCCTTTATCAAACTTGATAGAGCTCCACCTTCAGAACAACCTTGTTACCTAGCATTGACCCCGGATCTTTCCACAGTCTGCAGAATCTCCAACACATCGATCTACAGGGGAACCTTCTGGATCAACTTGGAGACGTATTTAGACATGATTCCAGTTTAGTAACGATATTGCTCGAGTCGAATAGTCTTGTATCGTTACATAATGACTCTTTACGTGGCCAATCTAGCGTCAGGTTTATGTGGCTCGGCCATAATAAATTAACCAAGTTGGATAGAACGTTGTTTAGCGACTTACTCTTGATCGAGAGGGTATACCTTACCAATAATAGCATATCTGAAATCCAAGAAGGAACTTTCGAACCGATGCAAGCTTTAGTATTCCTCGACTTGAGTTTCAACCGATTGAAATATATCAGTGTAAAAATATTTGCAGATTTGCATAATTTACACGAACTAAATTTGTCATCAAACGGGATCAGGCATATCGAACCAAAAGCATTTAACTCTTTGAAGAAACTTAAGATTTTAGATCTTGCTGATAATGAAATACTTGTCCTTCATGACGCAATATTTCAGGAAAACCTTCAAGTACAGAAACTGAATTTGAGGAACAGTTCAGTTGCGAAAATAGATAAAGGAGCATTCGAGGGACTCACTCATTTGACGGAATTGAATCTTGAATGTAATAAGCTGGATGCTGAGTCATTAATACATCTCAACATTGCAGGGCTAAAAGTTTTCAACGTGGCATGTAACAATCTGTCGAACATTAATGAAAAAACATTGAAAGGCCTTCCTTCCTTGCAAGATCTCTCTCTAGACAACAACGCAATAGTGCGACTTCCACCAAGAACTTTTCATAACAACAAGGAGTTACTTAAACTGTCACTGTCCGGAAACAGAATCAATTACTTCGATTCTGAATTATTTTCTCAACAGAAACATTTGGTTGAACTGCGGCTTGAAGACAATTCATTTCATAATATTCCATACTTGGCTTTAAACAACATTTCCACTCTGGAAATTCTTATTCTTTCACGAAATTCAATAGGTTCATTGGATATCGCTCAGCTCTCGAGACTCTACAAATTAAGAGAACTTTACTTGAACAGCAATATACTGACCTCTCTTACAGGTTTTGCATCTGCGAATTTCACTCATCTTTCGACTGTGGATATGAGTAGAAATTCCCTTTCTGCTCTCCCTGCCAACTTCTTTCATGGCGCAGAAGTGCTGAAAAGGTTGGACTTATCAGAGAACCGACTTCGGCAAGTGCCTACAACAGCGCTTTCTGGTAGTAACATTCCCAGCCTGGTTTGGCTGAATCTGAGTAGCAACCCTCTATCCCAGCTCCAGGAACTTGCCAAGTCCTATCCCTCCCTCCAGGAACTTCATATCAGCGGGACCAATCTCACCTACCTCACCTCAATGGACTTTGAGCCATTTCCTCATCTCCTACACCTTTACCTCGGAAGAAATCGTGTGTCTCGTGTGTCTCCGGGCGCTTTTCGAACGCTGAAAAGCCTTCTCTCACTAGACTTAGGGATTAACGAGCTCGAGATCCTTCCACAAGAGAGGCTTCATGGATTGACTTTTCTGCGTCACCTGAACCTAACGCATAACAAATTGATGGATTTAGAAGAGTTCCCGGTCACTCTCAAAGCATTGCAAGTGATCGATCTATCGTTCAACCAGATATCTTCCATCACAATGGGAACCTTCCGGCATCTGGAGAACCTCGGAGAGCTCTATCTCTATGGGAATTGGATAACGGATATAGCTAGTGACTCTTTTAGGCCTTTGAAGAAACTGAAGCTTCTAGACATATCAAGAAACTATTTGCAAACTCTGCCTCTCAATGCCTTCCGACCATTGGAAACACAGATCAGAAGTCTCAAAACGGAAGGTTAGTAGAAAAACATATTGAATGATTAATATATTTATTAGTAGATAGCAATTAGGAACAAATGACCCAGTATTAATTTTATGAAATTCTATCCTATCTTATCTTCGCTTATAGATACGGCTTGTATTTCAAATACTGCTCTTTCGAATTGGTCAAAATTTTGGAGATATTTAGATAATAATGAATAAATGTTTTGTTATCAAGATGGTGGATAATTTTATTAATTTTGGAGTATATTTTTGAAGAGAATTTTGTTGAGGATTGGAAATACGAAGTAAAAATAAATTATATTTATTTTCTTTTTGACCTAAATTATTATAGAAGCTTGTAATATAAACTTTGAAAATTTTACTAATTATTTATTATCTTAAATACACAGATAATTAACTAAATTTACGATGTCTGTGCTAAATTAGGTTGAACGTACTGAATCGAAATATTATTAAGTGAGTGGATTACGGTGAATACCCCTTGACATTTGTTATAAAAGCAAAGCGCCCCTTAAAGAAGTACAACTGCAACATAATGCTCCGTCATAAAAGATCCACTCCTCTTAAACTAGGATCATCTTCGTCTTTCATGGTGTTTTCATTCCTTGATTATATTTCCCCTTTCTTTTCTCCATCGCAGTAATTCACTTCATTCAAAAAATAAATATATTTTTAATTTTAAGAAGGAGTTAGTCGGGGGTGCGGTCAAATAAATACTAAATTAAAATATATTAATTATTTTAATCTAATTTAATTTAATAACTCCTTCTCATATTATATCAACGGTCAACCATCTCTACATCATTATTTTTAATTTTGTTTTATTTTGCAAAACGGATTAATTAAATCTGTTTTAGTAAGGTTTCAAGAGTTAAAGAAGATTAATATATACTGTTGAAATGAACATCATGAGCTCCGCGTCACTAAGGGATAATATTTTAAGTATTGAGCACGTGTATAGGGATCATTCAAATCTCTCAATCTTAACGGATAATTAATTTATTTAGTAGAGTTTTGAATATTATATGGAGGAATCTGAATTTTAGTGATTGATGAAAAAGCATTTATTTATAAATAGCATTCCTAGGATGCTAAGAAGATAGTTTAGAAAATTCTGTTGAAACCGGATTACGAAAGTTATTTAATTTTAGTAATTAAAAATGGTTTCATAATCAACTATACTAAATTTGCATAAAATAAAAGTAGTGTTTATTTAAGTCAATTTTACTTAAATGATCTTTTAAGCAGCTAAACTAAGCTAAATCCGGATTCTAATAAAATCATAGATTATTGCGATTTTTTGTAATCATCCCACGTCCGGGCTACAAACATTCTTATTTTATCAAACCTTTCTTATTTAATAAGCTTCAGTTGAGGTTCACGCCTAGTCGTTTAAACGAATTATGAGATTGATATTCAATCTACAATTACTAAACATTAAGTTTAATTTACGACTGTTAAACGGACAATCTTTGATATAAAAATGTGAGTTACGGACAGGACAGTATTGCAATACCGACATCTAGGGCATTAAAATATTTTTCATCTGGGGTGATAATAAACAATAATTTTTTATACCGATTTTTACTATAGTAACTGTTCCTCATTTTGATTAATCTATGATTTTTCGAAGGATTGATCGTAGCCGGTTCATAGTTCTGAATTTTTTTTGCTATGTGAGTATTTTTGACAAAAAAAAAACAACTACTTTTATTTGAAAGAAATTTGTTTCTACTTTACTATGAGACAGTTTTTATTAGCATAAATTAAATATTTTTTTATTTAACGTTCCTGTGAAAGAGAAAAGGCAAAGCTTAAATTTTCTCCACACCAAAAGTCCATAGTTTACATAAACTTTTTTGTTGTCTCAATATCAACCATCATCTCTCTAAATGTATTCCTTTACTTAGGGAACATGTACTTACTTTAGATCTTAGGCATTAATTAAATGGCAGAATAAAAACTCTTTAATATTAATAATTACTTGAAAAAAATATGTACATATATATATATATATATATATATATATATATATATATATATATATATATATATATATAATTTAAGATATCTTACAGTTTATAATTGGTTCTCGAGAAATCTCACTTGACCCATTTCACTCCAGAGATGAATTTATACATTAATATATACATATATATATATATATATATGTATATTAATGTATAAATTCATCTCTGGAGTGAAATGGGTCAAGTGAAGATTTCTCGAGAACCAATTATAAACTGTAAAGATATCTTAAAATACATTCTATTCATGAATATTAACTTCCATTAAAAGAATATACTAGCTTACCTTCTAGATAGAATATTGTAAACTGTTTCGACTTCTTTAAAGCTTTCTAAATGAATAATGGTTGCGAAAAAGAATTAAATGTTCATTTCTTATAATTTTGGCTTTATGCCACAGAAATTCTTTGTGAATGTTCAATAATAGCTGGATGTAAAGATTTTTATAAGATTAGCGTTATTTTTACCATAATATTAAAAATCTTACAATTTTCACAAATGACCTGCACAAAGTAACATTACATAAAATATTTTTGAAAACATCAGAAATGTGATATTGAAATAATAAATCATATCTAATATTAAATCTATGTAATAAATCCAATTTACTAACTTTAAGAGTAATGTTTTTACTAGTGAACCGTAGTAAAGTGACTCATAAATGTTTAATAATCGATAAGATCAAAGACAATTTTATTTCGATTAATAAATAAAATACATTTCCTACTTTTGACATTTTTTTTTTCAAAATTATATTTTTATTTTTTTGTTGCCAATAGGTCAGTACAATAAATAATAAATTCAGGTTTCGTTGCTATTTATTAGTGGACGTTTCAGGATTTTTTTTCAGTATCTAAAATAATACAATCAAAATAACTTATACTAAAACACATAACATTTCAAAAAATAAATTAAAAAAAATATTGTAGATCTGACCCAATTTAAATTTTTTTATATACATTATTTAAACAAATAATACATATAAATTATATACCCCGAAAATTGGGTAAGATGCTAATAGTTTAGCACAACTAAAATGGTTGAAGTTCATAAAGAGTTGTGATTTTTTTAAATATATTTTTTTAAATGTTGTGTTTTTTTACTAAATTTGACCGGTTTATGTGGGAACCTATATTATAATAATTATTTTAGATGATGAAGAGGGGGTATAAATTCTCGGAAACGCTAATAAATAATTATCAAAACTGGATATATTATTTATAATACTGCCCTATAAGGAAAACAAATTATGAAAAGAATACATTTTAATCAATAATTTTTTTCTTTTCTTTTTTTTTTATTTTTGCATCCTGACATCCTCCTCTGTATACTTCAAATATTAAAAAAATATAAACATCTAACCTATTATGGAATATACAAGGTTTTATGAAAGGGGGTAGACCATGTTCGATTTTTTTATTTATTTAATACATGATTATAGCTTTCTTTCATGGAAAAAAATATTACAGCTACCCATTCATTTTCAACGAGCGTTTCGTTTAAACCCAAGTAATGTCAGAAGTCCTACAGAAATATTGCGTTTATAAAAAATAAAATACCCCGGTATCCATGTTTTACTTTCATGATACAATAATCTACATATATTAATTCTTAAAGGATTTTTGTTGGTTCGCCACATCTTCGTTACTTCTTCATCATAAGATTTGATGGTTGTTTTCCCATTATTATTCTATTATTCGTTCCTCAATAACATACTTCACGGAAACGTGAACCTGTTGTGCTTTTTTCGAAACTGCATACTGCTATGCAATATGCTGTATAATCTCAGTACGCAGGTGGATGTCTAGGAGTGATATGATCAGTATGTTTTCTTTTCTGGCTTCATGATGCTTGACTTAGCGAAACATTGGTAAGTATTTTAGACTGGACTTTTTTCAATTGTAACCTAACATTGAATCTCAGTCGCATAGTGCGTTTTTCCTTGTATACTTTTATTTAAATTATATTTATACTGTATTGTATGATGAGTTAAATATTGATTCTCTATTCAGGTATTAAAATCCCGATAAATCTCAAGAAATACCAAATTGAGAGTGTACAATGCTATGATAAACCCATTTCTAATATATGGCTGTGAGACCTGGCCACTACCCAGCACTCTAGAAAAAACTGTTGAAAGATTTGAGATAAAAATCATTAATAGAATATAAGGCAAAAGACCACGTGGAAGGCCAAAGAGCGGATTGATAGATTAAATCAACAAAAATACGATAAAGCTTCGTGCAGATAAATAGAAAGAAATATCCCAAGACAGACATAGAAAAAGCAGGATTGTTAAGGTGGCATAAGATCCCCGAGGCCTGTGATGCTAACAGAAAAAAAAATTCATTACGATAATTGTTATTATTAAATATGAAGTATTTATTTTAGCAATGGTCTATTCTCATAATACTTTATATTATTACACATTCATGTTGATAGATCGCAGAATAGATTAGACTCTTGAAATTCATCTCTCAAATTATAAATATTAACTAAACCTCACAAACAACTGAGTTTGGATTTGTCAGATTATACACAGAGCGAATAGGATACCCTCATGTTGAACATAATTAATCAACTACATTATCTTTGCAATTACTGATGACCGCGTCATGCGTGTCAATTAGAAATGTAATCAGCGCTCTGTAAATAGGGAAAGCTGATGGAAAGAAAACATTGTTATGCTGTTCGGAAATCCTCACTGTTTATTCTGGATTTACGTCGATAAATTGGAAAAAAAAAATTCGGGTGGTAAAAAACAAATCGGTACCCTACAAATGTTTGTAACATTTTCTTTTCAAGAAAAAGAATTTAAAAAATTTGTTTTTTTTTTAAGAGAAAAAAATTATTGAGTTCCAAGTCATGGGAACTGGAGTTAACATTACTAGAAAAGGAATAACTTTGTAAAGAAATGGACCTCTCTTTTTTCTGTTAATAAAGTAATAGCATCGTTTAAGTTCACTTGTTTTAAATATAAATAATGCTTACACCAGAAAACAAGGTTTTGTATCTGTGAATAATTCAATTTCATGCCTAACCGCATCTTTAACTAACTTTAATTTCAAAAATAGGCTACCATGATACTATTTCTAGAATTTCCATTTCATATCTTGGCTTTAAAACTCTATATTTGTATATTCACTGGACTCAAGGGGCTTCTGAACTCAAGGTCGAATTCGGTTCGAATCCGGTTGTTGTAAAGTAATTTTTCTGACGTGGACCATACTGTGGCGCACCCCCAGCCACCATAAAGTGGATACTCTTAATTATATAATTAATTATAGGGAATACTTGTCCGATTCAACGTGATCCTGACCCGACCACCTCTCTGGTAAAACCGCTGTCCTTAAAACACTACTTTGCTATGTATTGGACACGGCAGGTAGGTTTTTAAAATTATTATAACAAAGGTGAATGAAACTGACTTCTGACATCAAACAGCGTCGAGGGGCAGATCAGATACCTGGAACCTGCAAGGACCGACCCCCTGGACCTGGACCCTTGGGGAAGGCTTATAGTAAAAACTAGTAACGGGCTAAATAACTGGTTCCGTTTAGTAAACCAGTTATTGTGGAGTAACAGGGTGACGTTTAGAACCATTGGAAACCATCCTTGTCCCACCCTGAAAAGTTTGTATAAAATCTGCCGAGAAGGAAGAAAATGGGTCTTATGTGGAGATCCGGCCCTGGCGAGAGGTCTTATGATGATGTCCGGCCTTGAGGATGGGTCTCCTGTTTTCTTGCGGCTTGGGGACTGAAGCCTTGGCCCTACATACGCATGAAGATCCTAGCAGAGCTTGACGAGATGATCTCGGAACAGCGATGCAGCGATGATATCTACCAACCACACTACTTCATATACAATAGATAAGTGCTATTCCCAACAATAAATTTACCAATTTTAGAATATTCCATGGCAATACAACTCTCAAAACAGTCCATCTGAAATCATGCCTTCATAGTTAATTATTAAATTCACGTTTTTCGTTCTTGTATATATAATTTGTAAATATTCTTTATTAAACATAGAAATAAATTAGTAAAAGTTATTTTGATTCTCCCACCTTCCCCCACATACGAAAACTACATACAAACTTTTCTAAAACTTTCAGAACCATAACAAAAGCTCCATGGTACGTCACAAAAATTACATTACATAAAGACCTTCAAATGCCATCAATTAACGATCATATACGGACACACTACAAGCAATTTCACAATAACTTACATGGACATACTAACACACTTATACAAAGTATGGCTACATTTAAAATGCCCGAAAACACACTTAAGAGGCTCAAAAGGAGCTGGATGAGGGATTTCCTCACTTAAAAATATGCTAAAATCAAGACAGAAAGGGATGCCGCTGGGCACTCCTCTCCATCACGCCGATCAAGCCACTACCTGTACACTTATACCCGCTAATTGTCATTGCTTATGACAGGTGTGGGTGAATAAATTAAGTTAAAAAAAAATCTTTTATAACTATTTTTTTTAAAAACATTTCTTGGTAATTATCATCAATAATAAATTTAATAATGTCGGAATAAATTTAAACACCTCGAAACGTAGCATAATTTTTAATGTCATCCCTTTTATGGGGATAAGACATGGCAACTTTCTAATAAAGTGCTCCACTCCAAAAACCTATATGGTTTGTTGTGGTATAGGAGTTGTTTTTTTTTATATATATTCAACTAGGATTTGTGATGTAAGCTAGGTGAAAACATTTGTCGGGAATATTTAATCCTTAATGGAACTCCGAATGATTTCTGGCTTCCGATCCCTTGCAAATCGGTCATTCACATTAGAGGACGAAATGAGACGTGGAGGTGTGAGGGGTGGCTAAGTCCAATTAAACAGAAGAGGTGGGGCGGGGGACAAACACCGCCCCTGGATAACCAAATAGCGGAGAGACTTGAAGCTGTGTGCTTTACAAACAAGCAGCGGGTGCTATTGAGAAAGTAATGGCGGCCCCGCGCTGGCTCTGTACTCTTCGAATTATACCAACCCCTGCTCCGCCATTGTTTGCTCTCCTAATGGTCCTCCTGCCTTCGGGTGCCTTCCTCTGGCTCTGGCACGTCCGTCTTCGATATATTTGTTCCCTTAATCTCATGCAGTTGCTGAGTATCCTTTATTACCCAAAAACCGTTTTGAGGGTGTGTAAGATCGATTTGTACGAGGTTATGACGTAATGTACGAGGTACGAGGATAGATCAGCCTCGTACCTCGTACATAAGTTTTGCTGACGTTTGCAATGCAAGGTTATATTTTTATGAATGAAGTTTAGAATTGTTTTACGGTTACTTTGTCTGTATTATTATTTATGTTGATATGAAAGACTGAACTTCTGTTGCTTTATAGACAAATAAATTGCAATTATATCTTCTTTAATTAGAGTATGATTATTATTTCCTTCATAAAACCATGATTGTATATATATGTTTTTTTTTAATTTTCTAGAAAATAAAATTTAAAAAAAAATTAGATTTTATTCATTATAAAATAAAATATAAGAAACCATATCCATTATTTCCTTAATAAAACGTTTTTTATAAATATGTATTTTTTAAAATGTGTTGTAAAAGAAAATTAAACAGAAATTTTTACCGTCATTTTTATCGAGCATAAAATAAAATACGAGAAAGTATATCCATTATTTCCTTCGTAATTATTATTTCCTTCATAAAACTGCAATTGTAAATATATTCTAGATAAATTGAATTTTTTTTAAAATTATTACCGTAATTTAAAAAATTATTTTCGATATTTAATCGAGTAAAGTAATTAATTGAAAAATTAACTAGTATTCATAATGAACCCATCTTAAATAATGAAAAAAAAATTTTTTTCAGTGGTCCACATTTATTTTGTGCGATATATAATTGTAAGCTAAATACTGAAACAATCACAATCTATTATTTTTTTATATTATAATGGATATCTCTAAAAGCATCAATGCCCCAATAATTAATTTTTATTAACCTTCCAGAACCACTAACATCCTTTCATAAAAGTAGTTGTTTTGTTTTTAGAAAAAAGAAAAAAAATTAGTCCTTCCCCCTAACTAAATCTTGGATCTACTTATGAAGAGTACTTTAAGAAGTGTATTTAGCTATTTTAATTTTTATATAACGTGTTCAGTAGTTTATAAAAATATATAAACTTTTTTATATATTTTATTAAGCTAATTTTACTTCTTGACCCATTAACTTAAAAAAAAAGTAATGTAAAAAGGCTTTAAAATATATGAATGGAGGTAAAAATAAAAAATTCTGATCTAATTTTACTATAAAAAAAACAATAACACTGGGCTTATAATAGTACAAGTTATGAATGAACAAGCGTACGAGGATGTACGAGGCTTGAGTACGAGGTTTTGTCACAGAGCGTGTGGCAACACTGTTTGAGGGTGTGTAAAATCTGAAACAATGATGTCGAAATGGAGTTGACTGTTTCCTTATAAAGAAATAACTGTTGCATTTTGGTCGATATAGATTTTATTCAACAAACAATAATTGTGTGGTCTCATATCAAAGATGGACTTGGACAACGCCTATATTCTGTAACATAGATTGATTTTTTTTTATTTACTGAAATTTACAACTGTATACATAGATACAAGAAGTAAATCTTCTACAGAAATATTTAACACGATTAGAAGCTACCCATTGATAACACTTCAAAGATTAGATTAATTTAGAAGGTCCCTTAGCCATCATCTTTTCAGATGTGTCGAGAGTTTTCAGGAATTGTATTGGATGAGAGTTTATGGACTAGGGGATTAGGGTGACCAAAGAGTTTGGGATTAAAAAAGAAATATCTAGTTCGGACCAAGCCTTTAACAGAGTAATGTTGAAGTCTTTCTGTATAATTTTATTTGTGACATAATAAGGATCATTTAGGATTTAACGGAGGATGTTTAGGCAACTTTTTTAATTAAGCGAAATAACTCTCTTGAGTTTCAATAATGCAACATTCTAATTTTATGCAGTGGACTGTATCTTAATGGATTAGTAGGTTATATTGATTGTGCTAAAAATAGCTTACCGTCTTTATGCCAGCTTACATCTTTTGGTTACCTGGAGGGCTCTCAGATTGGTCATGTGTCCTAAGTCCCTGCCAAAAGAGAAGTGGGCGAAGGAAACCAGCAGCTCTTGAGGCTTAAGTGTTATCTTTTATCTTTTAGATCTGCCCCCACCACTCGCCGTAACGCGGGAAACTCAAACCACCTTTGGCACAAACAGAGAATTTAGGATTGTAACGATTGAATAGCTTCACATTAAAACAATGTCATTCATGATTTTTTTCATAATTTAACTTAAAACATAAAGTCATCAGAAAGATTTTTAGTTTAACCAATAAAATTGACTTTTTTTCCACTTTCTAAACATAACTGATCTTCGTCTTTGGTATGAGGCCATACAAATTTATTTTAATCTTGTTTACTCGATATTATATCACTTCCTAGTGCCTCGAACCTGCAGAAATTCTGGAAAAAAAATGGACGAGTTGGACTCACAAAGAATTTCTCTAACACCGACTCAATTCATTCCAATTTTCAACTCATAATCCGCACAGATCTATTATTATCAGATTATTAACATCCATCTAAAACTTTGTAAATGATATTATCTCGTCGTAACCTACAAGTTTTTTATTTACGAAAATTCTAAAAAATTTGGCGTTTGCAATCTGTACATCGGTAAAGGTTATATATTTAATAAGGTACTTAAAACCCATGAACACACTTTTGCTTAGTTCTTAAATCGTAACATAATTTGACCACGAATTAGAAAAAAATAGGTGGCCGAATGCCTGCACGAATTAGGCAGCCACACCCAATATAACAAAATAACGAGGTTATATAAGCCAAACTGCCTTTTTTTGTAGGTATTTTTTTCTTTCGATTTTTTGATAATATTATCTAACGACTCAAACAGAAGGAAAGCTAATAGGAATTCATGAGTTTTTATTACCTCATTATATTAATTGATTTAAGAAGAAAATGCTCCGTTTCTGATAACTGTCTTCGATAAACAAGTTGTACGGAATGATAAGATAATGAAGTTTTCGATGGATATTAACAATTTCAAAAAAAGGGGTCTGTGGATTATCATTAAGACCTGTATAGGTATACGAGCCTGTATATGTATTTATATGAGCTTGATATAGAATGCACCCTATCCCTCTCTTAAATATGATAACAAATAATTTTCAAACCTTTTTTGTAATTTATAAGCTGGGGTTTGTTAGTTGTACGGTTTCAACTTGCCGACGATTTGTTCATTTCATTAATTTATATTTATTGATCATTATTTTTGAACAAATTTTTTCTAAATAACAATAATAATAATTCTTGAGTAGCACTTTTTAGAAAAAAAAAAAAGCAGAAATATCAGAAATAGGTGGTGTCAACTATTAGCAACAGAAGATCTTTATTTCCAAAATTTATTAGTAATCTTAGCTTACAAAAAAAAAATTGTATCTATACATATATTTATATAATATATATTTATATATATATATATATATATATATATATATATATATATATATATATATATAATATATATATATATATATATATATATATATATATATATATATATATATATATAATATATATATATATATATATATGTATATGTATATGTATGTATAGATACAATTTTTTTTAGTAAGCTAATATATATATATATATATATATATATGCCAGGTATCGCGTGCACAGTTAAAGCCATTAAGTAAAAAAATGTGTACAATAATAACGAATATATGAAAATTTTTCACAATTTATACATTATTATTAATGTATAACCGTATCATTATTTTTAACCGAATCAATATAATCAAAGATATGTTTCAATTGTTATTTAAATATAAGCCATGATTTTAAAATTAAAAATCAACTATAATAATTATTACATGATTTTGTGAAAAATATAATATTCGATTTGAAACCCTGATTATGAAACAGTATTTTCCACCCAGATCTTTGTCGCAGGAATTGATCGGTATTTATAAACTATTATAAAAATGTATATCTATATATACTTTTTTAATGGCATATCTTTACCACTCTATTAATAACAAAGTATTATTTGATTCATTTGGCTTATAATTAATTATTTTTTTGATAAATGAAAGTGTAAAAGCATTACGGATATTGGACTTATTTATAATGCGAATGAATGAGCCATTGGTAGGGTTTCATTTATATCAGATTTTAATATTTCAATCATGAATTTCTTGATTGACCATTTACAGGACGAAATGAATGATTACCCCTCGGATTCGATTTAGCCCCTATTGATTGAATTCTGTGAATGTAATGAAGTTATTCAGTTTGAAGTTAGTTTAATTAGAACGGTGAGTGCAGCTTGTCTAATTATTCAGAATACGGTAGCATGACAGCTAAATGCTCTGTCACCGCTTCACCGATTTAATTATTTCACCTGTATTTTCCATATGGTTTACATTTACATCATATTAAGGTAGGCTCTTTACAGGGTGCTTTGAATTTTCAGGTATTTCGGATCAAAACAACTAAGGTGTAAAAAAAAAAGCCTTTATTCTCTTCCCAACTTCCCAATTTATTTATATGTTTAATAAAGATATCTTTGATATATACTTGAGAAAACGAATGACGAATATTTGATTTCGGACTAAATGTGTTGGGGTAGATGAATTAATTATGTAAAATGAAGAATTTGAGTTATCTCAATTTTTTAATTTTTCAAGTACTCTCTTATGTTAAATTGAAATTGATGGTTCGTTTTTCTTTCGTGTTTAGATTTAGTACTCTGTCGATCCAGCCATTTGGTGACGGAAAGTAGTCGATTAAGAAAATAAGTAGTTGATAAACTTTAAAAAAAAAAATAAAACTAGAACGAGCTCGCTAGCTTTTTTCGTTTGACCGCTAGAGCTTACTAAATATTGACTAGTTTTCAACTTATCCAAAACCTTCATATTTCAGACTTTCAAAGCCTTGTGATTCATACTTTTGTATATATATATATATATATATGTAGCTTCTGGTATAAGGTGTCCCTAGAGGATGAGGAACAGTTTTTCCGTTTATAATGAACACCCGCATGCCATCTATATAAGAAGAAATGGAGGTGGAAAACTATGAAAAGGCGGTATAACGAGAATAAAAGCTGTGAAGGGGTTGAGAGGGGGGAAGGAAAATATTACAGGAGAGAGGAAGAGAAAGGGATATATATATATATATATATATATATATATATATATATATATATATATATATATATATATATATAAGAGAGTGGTATTGGCTGGGAGTGACAAATCGGTTAGTGGGACCGCGTACCGTCAATAGTGTGCCCTGACAGTTGCCGACATCGAGTCCGCTCTCGCTCTCTCTTTCTGCTTCTTATAGGCTCCATCATGGACCAATCCCGGTCACACTACCACTACGTCATCACATATATAACGGGGTCGCAACCTATAGGGCCACCGATGCGACTCTTTCTTTCCTTTATGCAGGTGTTAGTCTAGGGAGGTATTACTCATAAGCAGGCCATTCATTATGTGACAATCTTGAATAATAATATATTATTTTTATTTGAAATATTATGTATTATATGGTATTAACAACCATTGACTATCTTCTCAAGAAGAATTACATGTGAAGCATGTGTAGGAAATTTACCAAACCCAACCTCCTCCTATCTTGTGATATTACGATTACTTTTTAGATAGATAGAAAAAAAACAACTTTATTCTGGGACTAAGTCCCTTCAGAATAACAATAAAGTACAAAATAATAGAATATTACTGGCCTAAACGTTTGAAACAATAAATAAAATTGATAAAATAAAATAAAAAGTAAATAAAACCATAGGTGCACAAGCTATATACAATACAGATAAAACTATGTACTGAGCATTTAAAATTATGAACAAAACAATTAAAACTATGAACGAATCACTTGAACTATGAACAAAATTATATATAAGGGTTGAACAACATAAACATACACTTTGAGAAATGAAGAACGAAAAAGAGATACAATGAGTTCATTTCATAAAATAAAATAAAAAAAACTTTACTTGAATATATATATATATAAAAATAAACAGTTAATTATAATTGAATAAAAAAAAAATGTATGTATTGAAATTCCTACGTCGATAGTAGGAAATGCATGTACTATCTCTTACCAAGTATTATGATTATATGATTGCTACACAATACATATATAATATTAATAGTTAGCTGGTATCTGACTATTTTTGGAACAGGAATTGGAATAGGAGGTTTTTGAATGTGTATAGGGAAGGGGCATGTCGAATTTTGATCGGGAGGGAATTCCATAAGTTGACAGAGCGGGCTATAAAGGAATTTTGGAATGAGGCAGATCTATGAGAAGGTATGTATAGGTCAGAGGGTCGGGATCTTGTAGTGAGGGAATGGATTGAGGACTTAAATTGGAGAAGGTTGTAGGCATAAGAAGGACGATGATCGGTAATGATTTGATAAAGGAAAGTGCCTAGGAAATATTGTCTTCTTAAGGAGGGAAAGAGCTCCCCTAACTCAGTGTAGTGGTGGGAGACACGGGAGCGTCTCGGGGTCCCAATTACAAATCTTACGAAGCTATTCCAGTTCCACCGAGAGGCCATCGTACACCACACAACTGTAGTCAAAGTGGGGAAAGATGAGAGAGGAAACTAGGAGTCTACGGGTATTTTGGGGTAAAAGATGACGGAAGCGATGGAATAGTTAATTATAGGATGGAATTATATGGAGGTTAGATGGAATTATAAGATGAACCTCATCCTGCTCGTCTTAGTGTTGACGAAGAAAAGGGTAGTGGTTTTTGCTACATAATATTAATGATGGATGAACTAAGTCTGCTAAGTTTATTTGATTTTATATTTTTCTATGGAAGCTAGGTAGCTTAATGAGTTAGACATTCCTACGCCACAGGTCCCAGTTTTGAGTCCTGCTGCGAATAAAATTATTTATTCTGTTTCGTCTGGAGGCCTTCCTGGGGCACACCTAATGTCTATAAAGTAAGCACTCTTTAGTTTATTTAACGAATAATTAAGAGGTAGTATGGTGGTTCACTGTGATCTTGGTCAAATACGTTCCGTACATAACCGTTGATTAAGAAACAATACTTTCTAACATTGTCCAGTCATTTGGTAGTTTGGAGAGGAAAAAATTGCTGAAGAATTTTTCTCTACTTTTTCTCTACGGATCTATATGTTTCGGGGTGCTGAATCTGAAAATTTAGTTGACTAGAT